TATGTCTGATGAACATTTGAATAAAACGTATAATCTCGCTCTTCTGGATTAAATGTTCTCCAGGAATCATATAAACAATTTTTTGCTAAAAAAGTCTGCATCATTGATGGACCTATTTTTTGATTGTCTGTTCTGTTCCTGTCCACTTTGTTATCTATAATGCAATTAAAATCCCCGCCGATAATTAGGCTTCCAGACGATACGCGGTCAACCTTTTGCATCAGATTACCCAAAAATCTGTATGGAAGTTGATTTGGAGCATAGACATTTACCAATGTATATAAAATATTGTTAATTCGAACTATCACTATGAGAAACCTACCACCAAGGTCGGCCTCTTCATAAACCAACTCATATTTCAAACTGCTTGAAAAGAAGATTGCCACTCCTCTTTTCTTATTCTTTCCTACCAAGTTGGATCTATGTACCACTGGAAATTTTTTATAGTTCCATAGATTAGATGTAGAGTTAATCCAATGTGTTTCTTGAACGAACCCAATATCCGTTTTGCTGTCTATCAATCAGGGCTCGAGTCCTGCAGGAATGCATGGGAACGGCGTTCCTGCACTTTTTCCAAAGCAGGAACGCCGCTCCCGTTACCTGTCCTGCAGGACCGGCCCTGCTACCTGCACAGAGGGGCCATCACACGCTGTGTTCCTTCTCCAGCTATAACTCTTGCGAGACCCGCGGCTGTTACCATGGCAACGCTCCGCACAGGCGAGTCTCGCGAGAGTTAGAGCTGGAGAGGGAACACAGCGTGTGATGGCTCCTGTGTGCAGCGGCTGCCTCCCTCCAGCATACCACCAGGCGATCTCCCCCCTCCCTGACAAGGTAAGAAGCAGGGAGGGGGGAATAAAATAAAAATATTATACATACACATAAAGTAAGAAAAAAATGCTTTCCCCCCCCCACACACATCATCCAGCACTCACACACCCATCATCCAGCACTCACACACCCATCATCCAGCACACACACACACATCATCCAGCACACACACATCATCCAGCACACACCCATCATCCAGCACTCACACACACACATCATCCAGCACTCACACACACACATCATCCAGCACTCACACACACATCATCCAGCACTCACACACACACATCATCCAGCACCACACACACATCATCCAGCACACACACACACACATCACACACACACCATCCAGCACCCATACAACCCATCATCCAGCACCACACACCCATCATCCAGCGCACACACACACACACATCATCCAGCACACACACCCATCATCCAGCACACACATCATCCATCACCACACCCATCATCCAGCACACACACACACATCATCCATCACTCACACACCCATCATCCAGCACTCACACACCCATCATCCAGCACACACACACACATCATCCAGCACACACACACCCATCATCCTGCACACACACACCCATCATCCAGCACACACACACCCATCATCCATCACTCACACACCCATCATCCAGCACACACACACCCATCATCCAGCACACACACACCCATCATCCATCACTCACACACACATCATCCATCACTCACACACCCATCATCCAGCACTCACACAAACACCCATCATCCAGCACTCACACACCCATCATCCAGCACTCACACACCCATCATCCAGCACTCACACACACATCATCCAGCACACACACACACATCATCCCACACAAACACCCATCATCCAGCACTCACACAAACACCCATCATCCAGCACTCACACAAACACCCATCATCCAGCACACACACATCATTCCACACACACCCATCATCCAGCACTCACACAAACACCCATCATCCAGCACTCACACAAACACCCATCATCCAGCACTCACACACACATCATCCAGCACACACACACCCATCATCCAGCACTCTCACACCCATCAGCCAGCACTCACACCCATCATCCAGCACACACACACCCATCATCCATCACTCACACACCCATCATCCAGCACACACACACACATCATCCATCACTCACACACCCATCATCCAGCACTCACACACCCATCATCCAGCACTCACACAAACACCCATCATCCAGCACTCACACAAACACCCATCACATCATCCAGCACTCACACAGCACGTCATCCAGCACGCACACACTGCATTCATTATACACACTCTTCACTCACTACAAACACACTACATTCACTATACACCCTCTGCATTCACTATACACACTCTGCATTTTTTATGCACATTCTGCACTCACTACACACTACATTCACTATACACACTCTGCATTCACTACAAACACACTGCATTCAGTGTACACACTCTGCACTCACTAAAAACACACTGCATTCATTATACACACTCTGCACTCACTAAAAACACACTGCATTCATTATACACACTCTGCATTCACTACAAACACACTACATTCATTATACACACCCTGCACTGCACTATATGCATAGGAGTGTAATTTTTTTTTTAAGGGGGGGGGGAGGGGAGACGGCAGGAATCTTGGGTGAGTTCCCACACTTTTTTCCCCAGGACTTGACCCCTGACTGGGACCATCAGCCCCAACGCAGCGAACACAGAGAGGACCCAGGCGGAGAGAAGCACGGTCCCCCTCCATTTAACCCGTCAGACGGCGCAGGAACCCGACATCCCCGTAGGAGTGAGTACCGACCAACCTACCTGAGCTGACATCAGCCCCTCAGAAACCCGATTCATGCAACCTTCCAGACTAAACCCTAGAATGAACCCACTGGAGAAAGCTACACCAACCCCAGATGACTGATCAGTGCTGTGAAGGGGGTCTGGGACACCTACAGGTACGCTGGGTCACCACTTGGGGGGAACGCGGGACTGTGGACTTGCTCCGAGAGGTTACACTCCCACCGGGTTACATCCCTCAGAACTGCCCTTCTTCCTCCCCCCCTCAGCACGGGAGACACTTCTCCACGGAGGCCTGGGTACACCTGTTTGGGGAGGGGGTTCTCTGGGTGAGGACAGGGGCGAATACCACGGTGAACTGAGCACTGATCCGCACTCCGAGACCCCTGACTTCCATGCTGCCAAGCAGAGATACAGTGTTTACAAGCATATCACTATACATGTGGGACGCAGGGGAGAAGACACATGGGGAAGCATAATTTTATCTACCCCTACACCAAAATCACAAGCCATAATTATGACTGAAGGGAGGTGGGTGACGGTTAGGTAAGAGGCACAGGACGACACATCCCACCACACGCAACCTCCCACCGTACGGCCATCACTGCTAATTATTGTTTACTGCCAGGGGCAACTATACTAAATACTACACTACTGACCAAGAGGGAACTCACAGATACACATAGAGGGACATACTGGGAGATGGAAGCTACTAGAATGGGAATTCCCGCAACCCAATACCTGGGGAGAACCCGCTACACACGACTTGAGTAATGTGGGGAACTCAGTGGGCTCACGTTGAAACCGGTCAGATGCTGACGGTTAGGGGGCTGGATGGGAATACCAGGGGATATTGATGACGCAATGTTGAAATTTATTATGTTTCTGTTGAATGCACCATATATATAGGCTATGAACACACTCCTTTAATATGTGCTCCCACCAATGGTTAAGCATCGAGTTTGAGCGATACCGATGAAATCACCAAAGGGAAAGGGCAGTCGCTTACCATTAGAAGGATAGACGGAGAAGGTCAATGGTAACTGAGTATGCAATCCTAGA